TAAAACTTCTTGGCGCCCAGCGCCCGCAGGTCATGGATGGTGAAGGGCCAGAGGTGCAGGACGTTGTTGCGGGAGAAGGAGTCGCGCTTCTCCAGCAGCACCACGCGAGCGCCCAGCAGCGCCAGTTCGATGGCCACCCGCAGCCCGCAGGGACCGGCCCCCACCACCAGGCACTGCGAAGGGGACGGGCGGCGTGAAGGGGACGGGCATCCCCCCGCCATGCACCAAAGAACAGGGGTTTGGGGATGGGGTAAATCCTCAGCACCACCACGAACAGCATCTCCCCCCTTCCCCGGGTCAGGATCTGGCCCTCCCCACTATTCCCCTTCTTCCCACCCGGCTGCAAGTGCTGCTTCACCCTGCGATGGGGGGGGGGGCCCTGTGGGGGGCCCCCCACCTCCCCGCCTGCCTGAACCTTGCCTTCGCACAGGGCAATGGCAGCAATTAAAGCACTCGGCGAGATAAGGCGCGCACGTCTCCCGCCTGCTGCAGCCCGGGAACGGGGAGATTTCACCGGGAACGGGGAGATATCACCAGCAACGGGCTCAAAACCAGGACTCGGGTTTGACCTCCTGCCAGCGCCTGCACGGGGCTGGGTGGGGGGAAGATGGGCAACCAGGAGTGGGGGACAATAAGCCATCAGCTCTGGGACAGGGGGACAGAAATAGGGTCTCCTATCCCCAAGGGGACATCCTACCCCGGCATGCTCCTGCACCCCAGAAAGGGTTCGGCAGGTCCCTCTGCCCCTTTGCAGCCCCCCCAAGGGATGTCCCCAGCGAGGAGCAGCCGGGAGGAGGAAGGACGCCGCCGGCTGGGTGGCACCGTGGGGACATCACCCCATGGGGAGGGGAGCGGTGCTAATTAACACACTGTCCCATTAAACCCCATCAATCAACCTCCCGCCCGGCACATCCCGCATCCTCCCCGGGGGTGGGGGCCAGGGTAGCCCAAGGGATGCTCTCACCCCTGGGACAAGGACACAGGGCCAAACCCCACACCCCACGTCCCCGGTACCTTGGTGCTGGCACAGGCTGTGCCCTGGGGGAGGGGAGCGGTGCTAATTAACACACTGTCCCATTAAACCCCATCAATCAACCTCCCGCCCGGCACATCCCGCATCCTCCCCGGGGGTGGGGGCCAGGGTAGCCCAAGGGATGCTCTCACCCCTGGGACAAGGACACAGGGCCAAACCCCACACCCCACGTCCCCGGTACCTTGGTGCTGGCACAGGCTGTGCCCTGGTCGTAGTCCTTGTGGCCAGCTTTCTTATCCAGCTTGCCCCACAGGGCCTTGGCGCTCCAGTAGTTGAGGGCAGCCTTGATGCCATGGTAGAGCTGCAGCCCAGTGCTCTGCAGCCCCAGCTGATGGCACAGCTCCCC